GCGTAACAAAGCGTTGATTACAGTCAAGCTGATATTTACAAGTACCAAATACAACACAAACTGTTTAAAAAAAAAAAAAGATCGACGGAGGTAACGAAAAAGACGAGCACAAATATAACAGAAGATTTCGACCAAAGTCCTTATCAACAACGCACTAAATACAACAGAAACTATCACTCAACGGATACGACAACAGCGCTTACAAGTATCCAAGTCAACATGAAACGAAAAATGTGTAAGAGAAGAAACTATTCTCTGTTGTCTTGTGTGTGTGTGTTTGTGGCGTATGCCATGTACCGTGTGCAAGAATGTCCCCACATGTGTATATGTGCGTGTCATTTTAATGCAATTATTTAGTGAATATCTCTTTGATCAAGTTGGACAAAACCATTACCATGACAACCAAACAGATCGATGGCGCTGCTTGGCTCCATGGAGACTGACGGTGCAGTGCTGCATTTAGTCTCTGTTTAACTTTAACATTCTGCGTGTGGCTGGCGACCATGTTCAAACAGTTTTGAACTGTCGATATTTTTCCCGGTTCGTTACTTCCAACAGTGAAGGTAAGAATAGTGATGTTTAGAAAATTATGCAAATTTCGACTTCAGTATTGAAACATTCTCATCAATCATTCAAACATTCATTTTGTTGAACTTTTAACATAACAATCGGCAGAAAAGTTTTGATTCCACCATTCATCAATGTGACAGATTATCTTTATCCCTAGATTAACAGAAAAACAACAACCGCTTTATGAATAATAGAGACAGATTATACTGACTATATATACCTCAAGTATACACAGGTGAGTTGGGGAGGGGGGGGGGAGGGGTGGATGTCAGTTATCACTTATCAAGCAGTCAAATGGGGGGGGGGGGGGGATTGGGAAAACACGAATGTCTAAAAAAAAAAAACCTTTGACGAACGCAGAGCAGAGAGGTCAAAGATAGCAGACTAGATTCCATTGATGACATCGACAGGATTGGCCATGGTTGGAGGACTAGATTGGGAACTATGTGGAGTATAACGGCATAGCAGGATGATGATGATAAATGTGCGATGATGGCGATGATGATGGTGATGAAAGGAAAGAGCCTCTTTTCACACGCTGAGGTACACGGAAGATACATTGCTTGTCTTATATGTGTATCGATGGAGCGGACCCTTCATCGGTATTGTGGTCTAAAACTTACTGACCAACTTTATCATCAAGAACGTCTTATGTACACAATAATAGGCTGGGCCCAACTAGGAGCGAAGACTGGTTTATCAATCCGTTTCTTGTCGAGCCGAGAATTGCTTTTTAAAATCCGTTTGTAATGGAGATAAGAACTGTTGCTACAAATTCGCTTTTAATGGAGCTAAGATTGGTTTAAAAATCCAGTTCTAGTGGAGCCAAGAAAGGTTTGAAACTGTCGGTTCTAGTGGAGCTAAGAATAGTTTAAAATCCTTTTTCTTGTGGAAGCGACATTTGTGTAAAAATCCGGCTCTAGTGTGAACAGACTGGTTTTAAAATCCGGCTCTAGTGTGAACAGACTGGTTTTAAAATCCGGCTCTAGTGTGAACAGACTGGTTTTAAAATCCGGCTCTAGTGTGAACAGACTGGTTTTAAAATCCGGTTCTAGTAGAGCTGACATTGGTTTAAAAATCAGTTTGTAATGAAGCCAATCTTGGCTTAAAATTGCCAGTTCTTGTGGAGCCAACCAGGTTTAAGATCCTCTTCTAGAAGAGCCAAGCACGGTTTAAAAATCCGCTCATAGTGGAGGTGATTTGGTTTAAAAATCTGGTTCTAGTGGAGCTAAGATTGGTTTAAAAAAGTCGGTTCTATAGGAGCGCAGAAGGGGTTATATATGCGCCATGAGTCAAATTTGAAACGATTACTTCTTTTTTTGCCCTTGATCCTCTAATGGAGCGTAGACCCTCAACCAACTCACGACATGTCCTTCTATCCTTTGCTATCGCATACAGCTCACACCACGTCTTCCCCATCTGTTTAACTCCCTTCTCTAGCTCCACTCTCTGTGTGGTTTGTTTGGTCTGCCTTTTTTATATTCCCCTATTGTTCCTTTGCAAAGACAAGCTAGTCATATTGTTCTTAGGTTTTCTCACTGTGTGTCCTATCCAACACCAGCATCTTTTTCTCACCTCTTGGTCCACTAAACTTGTTTAGTTCTTTTCCAAAGCTGAACATGAGTGATTCCATCCTTCCATTTAATTCCCTCTATTCTGCGCAGGCACCACTTTTAATGAAAGTCTGTGGTTTATTAGTAACTGCCTTAGTTCTCCATGTTTCAGCTCCGTACAGCAATTCTGATTTGACATAAGGATAAAACATAACATTTTAAGTTTAGTATTAGTCTAATGTCTTTTGATCTCCACAAATTCCTTAGTGCTATGCAAGTTCCTCTTGAATTTTGTATTTGTTCTGAACATCTTTATTAGTCTCCCCCCCCCCTCCCCCCATCTTGGAGTGGGATAATTTTAATAGAAACCACATTACTGTCTGTTTGCCTGATTTATTCTCATTATCTTTGTCTTTCCTTTTGACTTTTTAGACCTAGCTGAGGTAATCTCGCAACAAGATTATTTCATTTCTCTTGCATCTGGTTCTGTGAGTGAAACAGAAGAGAAATATCATCAGCGAAGTCCAGATCATCAAGCTGTTTTGTAGGGGTCCACTGAATTCCATTCTTGGTGTTAGCAGTTACTGTTTTCATAATCCAATCTATTGCCAGTAAAAATAGGAAAGGCGATAAAAGGCATCCCTGTCGCACACCTGTTCTCACTTCAAATATATATGTTAGCTTTCCCTCCTAAAGAATTCGACATCTCTTGTCCTTGTATGTTGCCTTTGCTAAGTCAGGACGTCTGTGTGCGTTCGTGTGGTGCTCCATCAATTTCCAGAGAGGTTCCCTATCAATGCCGTCAGAAGCCTACCCAGAGTCTATGAGTCCAGTGTAGTATAGTGGTGAATTCAGTTCAATGCTTTTCTCTATTTTTATTAGGGCTGTACTTAATAGTAATTTTCACTATTCGGCCAAATTTGAATAACGGGACCAACTATTCGGCCGAATACGAATAGTGTATAGTGTACACAATATATCTAAAAAAACAAAAACAAAAACACACATTCATAATGTCACATGTACGCTGAACGTTTACTTAATATAAAGTAGAACAGAATAGTCTTCTTTTTCTTTAGCATTCTGAGCCCTTCAGGTTTACTGCTACAGATATCACTCGTCTCCATTCATCTCTCTGGCTGGCCTTATCTTCACAATTTGTGACACCAGTTGTTTGCAGGCCTGGCTGGACATTATCTCTCGAACTTCTTTTTTGTCTGCCTCGTGGTCTACGCCCATTCCTCTCTCAGGTGTATACAGTTTTTACTTCTGTGTCATATGACATTCTTTCAATATGCCCAACCATTTTAGTCTGTTAGCTCTCATGATGCCAGTGATCAATAGTGATTTAAACAGATTATGTGATACGTTGTTGCTTCTCACTCTCCATTCCCCGCTGTTAGCATCTTTGATGGGTCCAAAGATTTGTCGTAAGGATGTTTTCGAAAACCAGTAATAAGGCCTCATCTTTTTTATTTCTGCTTTAAGTTTCAGAGCCATATAAAACGACTGGTCTTATCAACGTTTTATATATTTTGATCTTGGTGTTGCGAGACTGACACTTTGACTTTAGAAGATGTTAAAGAGCATAGTATACTTTATTTCTAGATTGTATTCTAGATTGTATTTCTTCTCTCAGCATGTTGGAACAGTTGAAGTTTGCACCCAAGTACTTATATGTTTCCGTTCGTTTGATTTTCATATTATCGACTTGGATGTGGCCGGAGTTTATATTCTTTCCATGTCTAGTTAGTATTCGTACAGAATAGTAAACATTTAAAAACATTTTGTTTTACATCTTTTAGTCAGTCTGTGGTAACTAACAACTAGAAATGAAAGAATCCTAAGTATTTTAACAAATAACTAGACTTGGAAATTGTCACTGACAGCATAGTTAATGCATGAAAGCTGCATTAGCTTTCAACAAAACCAATCATTCATGTTGTCAGCATTAAGGCCGTGTACGCAGAAGCGGGTGTAAGGTAACTACTATTCGTATTCGGCCCGACCGCAACTATTATTCGACCAAATACCGAATAGTCAATAGGTCCACTATTCGGCCCCGAAGCGAATATTCGGTACAGCCCTAATTTTCATACGTCATGTGGCTATCAGGTCAATATAGGATCTGTTTTGCCGAAAATTGCTTGTACGCTAGTTAGGGACCCTGACTGGAAGAATATAACAGTTACACTACATCCTACCAGACATGTCGAAAAAGACGACTAAGGGCAGGGTTAGGCCATAAAAACAATATCTACAAAAACCAACTAACCACGGAGAAGTAACAAGAGAAACAATAACTGTTAGGCTTGAAATGTCGTGGAGAATATATGCCTTTTCTATAGACATTGACATCAAATGTATTTGCTGTTTACAGGTAAGGAAATCATTGTGTTTTAATCTCATGCAGCTAGCATCGCACAAAGTACCAGATCTATAGCACCTCATTCACCGGCTGTAAACTCTGACAGAAACGTTATGGTTGTACATCCGCCTAGGGACACTATTCTTTTTCCGGAACCTGAGTGTTGTGTGCACATCCGTTTCACAGATCTGGCTTATCTGTATACAGACTATTGGTTCCTCGCCTCTCATGTATACTCACTCTGACTTAAACATAAATCGCAAATTAGTCGACTCCTACGACATGCTTGTTGCAGGGAAGGCAGTAGGTTTGTTCTTGTGTTCCCCACAACGAGGCCCTGGCACTCACACGGGAAATTACTTGCATCAACCCAAGGTCGTAGTCAGACACAAACCCCCGACCTTCATTGTGGTAACGAAGTATCTAACAACTTCGCCACAAAGAGGCCCAGTTTACTGGCGGTAGCATACTTACACAACAAAGCCACAACCTCTGCGGTGGGTCTGCAGACAAACGTCGTGGGTGCGGCGGTGTTGGCACTGATCCCAGCCACACACCCCACTCACAAGCCGCTGTTTTAGATGTTCGCCAGTGACTGGACTACAGATGGTTCACATTTCTCCCAGGCAGCAGAACTAGAATTGAGTAAGAACCGACATCACACACGCTGGGGGATGTCCCCTTAAGCGCTCCTTCCCCATCTTCAGCAGCCAGGAAAGAGTTCGTATTCCGGAGCTACCAGTCTGATTATATGTCCGTCTCGCCTTTTGTCTTCGCAGAGAATTAAAGCGATGGTAACGTATCAGCACTTTATCGGGTTATATATTTAGTCTAGTAGATTCAAGATACAAACAGATGCCAGTTGGAAATAAGCCAGGTTAGTTCACGAAATAATATTAGAGGCGTGGACGCCACAACCTGGGACCTCATGTATATTGTGCCCAGTTCATTTTTCAGTTGATATATTGTTTACGGTTTATGGATTCTGTTATAAATATCACATTTCCATTGGTAGAAATAGATTCCGTATCCAGACACGCATCCCTGGTGTACAGACAGCCAGACAGATACACATCCCAGACAGTCAAAGAGTCTGTTGTAGCCATAGGCGCTACAACAAGGGGGTTAAGGCTCACGACCCCCCCCCCCCCTGATATTTTAAAAGATCTTGTGTATACAGTCTAGACAGCAGTAACAGTAAACTAGGCACACTAACCACAAGTTCTAATCCGAATCAAAACTGGAACTATAGTCATCACATTAAACAGCTGTTTATTTTACTAAACACAAAGTTAACGTATACTTCCCAGATAATACATTAAAACCAACCATCCACGAGTTCGAGCAGAGCATGTTTCACTCTCTACTAACAAGCAAATATAACAATTAGTGCATTCTTTTAATAGAACTATTTCAACAATGGCAAAAACCGAAACACATGAACATGTACATTAAGCTTCAATATGCCACCAGACCAATAAAGCGCCTATAGCGACCTGCAATCAAACTAGCGAGGATGAACAATGGAAATCAAATCCAACACAACCTAAAGAAATAAAAAGGTACCGAAAAACAAAATATCTCTTATCTGTCCCGTGGCATTCGATGCCCATACGTGGACCAACCAGAACGTCCAGAGCAACCGGCCAGTAGCAGGCAGAAAGCCAAAATGAAGCCATTTCCAATTCCAATCCAGTTGATTAACAAAAATTCCAAACTTGATCCTTTTTCAGCCGCCCGGAGGCCTGCTATATGAAGGAAGGTTCCTTGTCTATCTTATTTGGTTTCCTATTCTTTGTGGTGTGAAGTCACACCTGATATTCCAGTTCTAAGCCGTTTCCTTGGCCCTTCGTGTTCTTATATACCTTGGGCAGGTTTCTTCGCATGGCCTTCTAAAATTAATAGCTGTTTTTGGTCTCTCACATCTATATAAAAATTGTCTGTCAAGTATTTTTTTTTTTCAGTTCCTATTATTTCAAATACATTTTTACATTTATTTGCCATTCCGCACATTGTTGTTATTATTATTACCATTATAATTATTAACTGAAACAATGATTAAGTGCACGTAACCCTGCCACCCCAGTGACCTAGACGAAATTATGCTAAGAACCTGCAATGCTGGACGGTCGGGATTAACAGAATAGAAACAGTCCTTTAACAATAAAAGCCATTTTATACAGTTCCCAAATTAATTCATAACAATTCCATTTCCACACATAAGCAAACAAAATAATTAGCACAGATCAAAAGGTGCAATAGGTGAAACCACGGCCGGGCTCCACAGTACAGTCGGCCCTGGGTAAAACCACGGCCGGGCTCCACAGTACAGTCAGCCCTGGGTAAAATCACAGTCGGGCTCCACAGTACAGTCGGCCCTGGGTAAAACCACGGCCGGGCTCCACAGTACAGTCGGCCCTGGGTAAAACCACGGCCGGGCTCCACAATAAAGTCGGCCCTGGGTAAAACCACGGCCGGGCTCCACAGTACAGTCGGCGCTGGGTAAAACCACGGCCGGGCTCCACAGTACAGTTGGCCCTGGGTAAAACCACGGCCGGGATCCACAGTACAGTCAGCCCTGGGTAAAACCACGGCCGGGCTCCACAATACAGTCGGCCCTGGGTAAAACCAAAGCAGCAGACAATCAACTGGGTTACTTCTTCATGCGGTTTGCAAAATTGTAATACCGTGACTCAGTTTTGAACCTAGTAAGTATATAAATTGTACATTACACAGAGCGATAAACACCCGGTGACACAAAGTGTCACCATGCGGATGAGGATCACCAGTGGAGAGGTCGCGGAAACCGAGTTCAGACATTAGGTTGTATTGCGGCCCCTGGGTAGGGCTTCAAAATAACTAAAAATTGCATCCCACGGGAGGGGAGATGACGAAGACTTTGACACTGTGACCTGACCACTGGAGAGCACTGTGACTAATGAGAAACCATTACACCATATTTTCTACAAATAAAGCCAGTGCATAACAAGAAAACACCCAAATTTTGTTGTTGTAATTAACTATAGCCAAACATAATCACATGCATATCTAGCACTTGGCGGGGCTATTAAACATTTACGCATGTGCAAAAAGAATCAATGGTCCTAGCGAAGATTCTCGTAAAGAAATTACTATACCGGTTAGGCGACATTTGCGGGTAATGGTACACACAGAGAGTACCCTCATGTATCCTCTCTACAACAGCCAACTGTTACTGTCCAGACAAAATCTGGCTGTTGTTAACACAGCATCATGTATCCTCTCTACAACAGCCAACTGTTACTGTCCAGACAACATCTAGCTGTTGTTAACACAGCATCATGTACCCTTTCTACAACAGCCAACTGTTACTGTCCAGACAAAATCTGGCTGTTGTTAACACAGCATCATGTATCCTCTCTACAAAAGCCAACTGTTACTGTCCAGACAACATCTAGCTGTTGTTAACACAGCATCATGTACCCTCTCTACAACAGCCAACTGTTACTGTCCAGACACCATCTAGCTGTTGTTAACACAGCATTATGTACCCTCTCTACAACAGCCAACTGTTACTGTCCAGACACCATCTAGCTGTTGTTAACACAGCATTATGTACACTATATACAACAGCCAACTGTTACTGTCCAGACACCATCTGGATGTTGTTAACACATCATCATGTACACTCTATACAACAGCCAACTGTTACTGTCCAGACACCATCTGGTTGTTGTTAACACATCATCATGTACACTCTATACAACAGCCAACTGTTAGTGTCCAGACAACATCTGGCTGTTGTTAACACATCATCATGTACCCTCTCTACAACAGCCAACTGTTAGTGTCCAGACAACATCTGGCTGTTTTTAACACATCATCATGTACACTCTATACAACAGCCAACTGTAACTGTCCATACACCATCTGGTTGTTGTTAACACAGCATCATGTATCCTCTCTACAACAGCCAACTGTTACTGTCCAGACACCATCTGGCTGTTGTTAACACAGCATCATGCATCCTCTCTACAACAGCCAACTGTTACTGTCCAGACAAAATCTGGCTGTTGTTAACACAGCATCATGTATCCTCTCTACAACAGCCAACTGTTACTGTCCAGACAACATCTAGCTGTTGTTAACACAGCATCATGTACCCTCTCTACAACAGCCAACTGTTACTGTCCAGACAAAATTTGGCTGTTGTTAACACAGCATCATGTATCCTCTCTACAAAAGCCAACTGTTACTGTCCAGACAACATCTAGCTGTTGTTAACACAGCATCATGTACCCTCTCTACAACAGCCAACTGTTACTGTCCAGACACCATCTAGCTGTTGTTAACACAGCATCATGTACCCTCTCTACATCAGCCAACTGTTACTGTCCAGACACCATCTAGCTGTTGTTAACACAGCATTATGTACACTATATACAACAGCCAACTGTTACTGTCCAGACACCATCTGGATGTTGTTAACACATCATCATGTACACTCTATACAACAGCCAACTGTTACTGTCCAGACACCATCTGGTTGTTGTTAACACATCATCATGTACACTCTATACAACAGCCAACTGTTAGTGTCCAGACAACATCTGGCTGTTGTTAACACATCATCATGTACCCTCTCTACAACAGCCAACTGTTAGTGTCCAGACAACATCTGGCTGTTTTTAACACATCATCATGTACACTCTATACAACAGCCAACTGTTACTGTCCAGACACCATCTGGCTGTTGTTAACACAGCATCGTGTATCCTCTCTACAACAGCCAACTGTTACTGTCCAGACACCATCTGGCTGTTGTTAACACATCATCATGTACCCTCTCTACAACAGCCAACTGTAACTGTCCATACACCATCTGGTTGTTGTTAACACAGCATCATGTATCCTCTCTACAACAGCCAACTGTTACTGTCCAGACACCATCTGGCTGTTGTTAACACAGCATCATGCATCCTCTCTACAACAGCCAATTGTCAATGTCCAGACAACATTTGGCTGTTGTTAACACATCATCATGTACCCTCTCAACAACAGCCAACTGTTACTGTCCAGACAACATCTAGCTGTTGTTAACACAGCATCATGTACCCTCTCTACAACAGCCAACAGTTACTGTCCAGACACCATTTGGCTGTTGTTAACACATCATCATGTATCCTCTCTATACAACAGCCAACTGTTAGTGTCCAGACACCATCTGGCTGTTGTTAACACATCATCATGTATCCTCTCTATACAACAGCCGACTGTTAACACATCATCATGTATCCTCTCTACAACAGCCAACTGTTACCACATCATCATGTATCCTCTGTATACAACAGCTAACTGTTAACACAGCATCATGTATCCTCTCTATAACAGCCGAGGCCTGCGTCTGGAGTGTATCATTCCTCAGTCGACCTTGAAATTGACATTGAGATGCCAGAAACCCCAGCCGGTAGAGGTCGAAGGGCAAAGGCCAATGCTGCTAAAAATAGACTCAAGGCCAAGTTCCCCAACATAGAGACCAAAGACGAGGCTGATAGTAACGCACAGGACAAGAATGAGGTGAGGTGTATGTGCGTGCGCGCGTATGTCTGTCTGTCTGTCTGTCTGTCTGTCTGTCTGTCTGTCTGTCTGTCTG